GGAGGGGTGCGCAGAATGGGCTTCCTTTATCACCTATTCAGCAGAAGCAGCAGCAGCAGCAGCACACCAGGTGCAAAGCCCCGGCATCTGACTTGTAAGTCTTCAGACTGATCCGTGCATCTCTGGCATCTCAGAAAAAGGTGATATTTACAAGTCTGTCTGCTTGCAAATGGGCTTTCATTTTTAGTGGGTGTCGGTCCCGTCAGTTCCGGTCTCTCTTTCACTGTTTTCTTTCTTGCTTTTTTTGTGTGCCGTTTAGAGGATGCTACTGCTGGGCCGTGGGTGCATTTTCGAACACTGTTTTGGTTCGATTGGGTTTTCTGAAATGCAGTTTGGTCTGTTGAAGAAGCAACATGAGTGTGACTCATGATGCAAATAGGAGACTCAACTGATTTGCATCAGTTTGAGAGGAAGAGCAATGAACTCGGGTCTTTTCTTAGGCTGACGACCCGTGTTGAGTTTACCAAAAAGAAACAGATTAAACTTTGCAGTTTAATCTGTTTCTTTTTAATGTTCATTGTCAACTTGGCCTTTGTTCTGCGTTCACTGTTTAAAAAACGGGGTAGGGGTAGGGAGTGCTCGCAAAAGTAGGTCACAATTTAGGAGTAATACCAGGCGCTTGAATTTGCTATAATTCGTTACTGTAAAATATAAATATGTACAAACTAAATTTGTGGTAAGCGGCTTTTTTAGCTGTTAGCATTTCATACTCAATATTAATGTCAATTTTATCTGTAAATTAAAATGACATCTAGTCAGTTTTTAATAGAATAGTTTTAAGTAACAAAAATAAAAGCGAAGACAATTATTTGATAATAAATAATAAATTGTCTTTATGGAAATCTAGAGAATTAAAGCAAAAATTTTTGGACTAATATTTTTCAGTGGAAACTGAGCGTTCACTACATTATGCCTACATCGCACATTATACATTGTACGTATATATTGTATAATGTAATACACGTTACAAATTATGCAAATAAATGTATTCATATTCATTTCTTATATTCCGGAGTAAATTAAATAAATTTTAAAAAATCATCTGAAATAATACTTTTGGTTCATTCACTAATATAATTGGTTCATAACCAACAATTTGTTATAATTACGGGCTAAAAACAACAACAACAACAACAACAACAACAACAACAACAACAACAACAACAACATAATAATAATAATAATAATAATAATAATAATAATAATAATAATAATAATAATAATACCTGAATTAAGCAGTCTATAAATTTACAGTATATGCAAAAGTGAACTTGACCGTTCAGTGTGACAATATTCCGTTCCTTCTATTTTGTGCAGATTCCTGAATGCCTATAAATGAATGTGACACGCAGCTTACTGGCTGCAGCTTTAGCAGCCTGTCATCGCAACCTCTGAGACGTCTGCAGAAGCTGAAAGCTGAAGCAGGGATGATGTTTCGACTCACATTCTGGACTCAGTGGGAGTAAATTAACGTGGCCGTTAATTTAACGAACCTTTAGGTGCCGTTGGAATTAAATGATCTCGGCTCTTCTTTTATTTTTAAGCGAGCCGTCGTCATCATCGCACCGCAGGCGAGCGTCCAAGAAAAATATGGAAAAGTCAAGTGTGTGACCGCCCTGTGGTTCCCAGCTCTGACCACAAAAACATATTGACTGTTATGCTTTGACAGCTCTTTGACAGTCACTTACTTTAAACACGTGTCGCCGTCGAAGCTGGAATTCGACCACGGGCTTTTCGGGATGCTTATTAATGTGGCAATTTGTGTTGTACGACATCTAAATTTAAACGTTACGGATCACTTTTATCAGAATTTTTTCGTTTTCACTGACGCTTTAGGCGCGGAGGCTGTGGAATAACTTGCTCTTTCTTTCAGTTCCTTCAAAACTGGGATACATGTGGAGTTGGAACCGGGAGGGGGAAAAAAGGAGAAAGCTTCAGACTGATCTGAAAGCCCACAGAGTTCACCCCTGAACAATTTTTTGGTGGGTTTTCTGCAGATTAAATCTGTGGTTTTCCCTCCTCCCCCCTGTTTTTGTAATAAATGCCAGATATGTCTTTTGCAAACAGCTTGGATAAATCTAGGATTTGCACTCTCTGTGCTGAATACAGGTTCATGTGTATGTGTGAGTGCACACACACACACACACACACACACACACACACACACACACACACACACACACACACACACACACACACACCCTCTCCTCCTCCTCCTCCTCCTCCGAGACATCGCTCATTGTGCTTGGGCTTGTCTCTTGTCTGGGCTGACCACGTGTGCTCGCCGACGGCCACCTTGGCGACACCGGAGCTGCTGATTCTGCAGGACTGCAACACAAATAATTAGATACATAAATAATTCCCAAATGAGCATTCAAGAGTCAGAAAGGTGCACGTTTAATAGGAATGCCGTAAAGTGACTAAACACATCTGTCAAAAGTCATAACAGGACAAAACACGGAGCAAGGAACAGTTAACGATTAACACCACTTTGTGTTTATTCTGAGGTCTGATTTGCTTGCAGTGGCAGAAACGCCAGAAGGCAGCGCGCATGCAACAGGCCGGGCCTTGTACCATGACTCATGCTTATTCCTGCTCATTGCCGCTGAATGATTTCATTTCTTGGCCTTCCTTGTGCGATAACGCGGAGATAAAAACACGACTACTGTGCATCGCCTCAGAGATTGGCTTTGAGAGCGAACCTGGCACAATGCAAGAGTGCAAACCCATGCGAACCGCAGGGTCAGATCTGGATATTGGAAACAGAATATGTAGAACTCAGTTTATTCAGAAAGTGAGAAGGCTATATCAGGTTTTATTATCTTGGTTACGTCTATGAATTTTTTTTATTATTTTTATTTTCTCATATGTTAAAATGTCTTATTGACTGCATATAACATGTGGGACCAGATACAGAAGTATAAATCAGAATTATTGACTGTAGTAAATTATATGATATGTAATATTTTGGCTTTAAATTATTATATATGTTTTGAAAATTAAATTTGAAAGACCACGACCTCCAGCAAAGTGTTTGTCGTTGGTAACAGCCGCCCTTCAGTTCAGTTAAAAACCCACAGACATGTTTAAGTTTAACCGAAGAAAACTCAATCAAAAGTTTGATTAACCCATTTCATCAACCACCTGTTAAACAGATTTTAACAACAATGTGCGTTTTCAGACATTTGTTTTTAAGCCACTCTTTCAAGATGGAGATTCATTTATGTCTATGTATGTATGTTATAATTTGACTCATTGGTAATTCTGCTGCAAAACGTATAATAATAATAATAATAATAATAATAATAATAATAATAATAATAATAATAATAATAATAATAATAATAATAAATATTTACGTTTACGCTTCTCAGCACATTTGATTTTGAAGTCTAAACTACAACAAAATCTGTGTTTACACATCACATTAAATCTTGATTGATATCAATCTTCTCTTCTTTTTTTCCCCTTATAACCCAGAAATACATGTTGAGGATAGGATTTTTCTCAGACAACAGATTGCCGCTAAATTTAGTGTAAAGAAAAACAATGAAAATCAGGCTTGGTCAGCCCAGTTGATGAACCACTGCTACCTCATAACCAGATTCAGGCATCACTGAGGTCTTTAGATAAAGGTCAAGATTGGTTTTTTTTTTTAATTTTTTTCTATATCTAAGCAGTTTTTATGTTTGTTTCAAAATCTCTGAACCTCATTGTCACTATTCAATTTTACAACACGTTTAACTCTAAAAATGGCTGCGTACGCAGAATCTACCCCCATCAAGGGAAGTTCTTTCAATTGTTATTTGAGCTCGACCAGAAGTCTTTCTCATTTTGCTCCAATAAATTGTTGACGACTGAACACTGAACGTTTTTCGCCATGTCCAATTAGTACATAACAAAAAAAAAAGACAGAAAAAAAGCGGGAAGTTAGACCGAGTAAGCCCTTTTGATCAACTCCAAACACCTTTCACATCACATTCACCGTTTAAGACGTCTTTATACCTTTCAGTTTTAAACCACACTTTCGTCTTGTTTATTTAGACCAAGCTGTTTGAGTTGTGCCTGTTCACCAAAAAAAAAAAAAAAAAGCAAAGTCGGAGAGACTGACCACTGTTTAAAAAACGAGAATATAGTTTCACTGTTTAAACGCCATTAGGCACTTGCATAAGGCATAACACTTTAATAAATACGTCAGTGTTAACGTCTTTTCACCTTACACTTCCAACCACATGCTCACGTTGTTTACATTGAAGGCAATCGGTTTTCGATGTAGGCTTATAAAAGCTGCCTGGGGAGAGAACTCTGCTTCGAAACTCCGCATCAATGCTCGACGTTCTGCAATACATTTGATTGTGGGTTCCAGAGTGAAACAACAACAAAAGAAAAAAACAAACAAAACAAAAATCAACAGTTTGCGTTTGCTTTACCACACGAAACGACAACTACTATTGCTCAAAAATGTTACGGTCAAAGTTCATTCAGGATTTTGATATTTGGAGATCAGAGACGTGTTTCAATTAAAAAGTGTAAGAAGTATACTGGTGCTAAATGTATAATGCGTGGCCTTTTTTTTAAATATGCAGTCTAAATCACCGCTTAATACTACGCCAGAAGATTTTCTTTTAGAAATAGAGTGGCAACAAATTTGATGAGGAGTTTCTTATTGTCAAAAACGTAAGGAACAGCATAAACAGAACTCCTGCTGAACTTAAAGCTTTTTCCAGAGTCAAATAGAGCAGAACACACACATATATAGGCACTCTCTCTCTCTCTCGCTCTCTCTCTCTCTCTCTCTCGCTCTTTCACACACACACATACACCCTCCACGTTTATCCCCCTCTTTCCCCTGGATCAACATCATTTTCACACCTATCTGCGAAAAAACTCCTCCGCTATGTATATATATATATATATATATATATATATATATATATATATATATATATATATATATATATATATATATATATATATATATATAATTTTTTTTACTTAAAAAGGACACGATAACGTTGCTGTTTTGTTTCCAACGCCACGCAGCCCTCAAAGTTAGACAGCAAGCGAGAAGAAGCGGGCAAGGACTAGTTCGTGAGAGAAAACGCACTAGAGAAACAAAACAAAATGATAGTAAAAGTTAGTGCCCTCCAATAGCTTTTCATTAGGACAGGAATTCTCACCCTTCTTCCGCTCTTTTCAAGCGCTCAGACGGGGCCCTTCAAAGCCTGAATGGTGCGACGGGCTGGACTGCCAGACAACAACAACTTTCAACTTGACCTTGGCCTCCAACTGCGTCTCACCTCCCTATGTAAAACACAGCCAAGTCCAGGGCTCGCCTTCTGACTTCGCATGCTATAAACACGTAGGAAGCCGAATGTCTTCAATATTTGGAACGATAAATCAGACTTTTACTTCATCTGTGTTTCCTTTGTTTTATAGGAGGGTAGAAAAATCTCAGGCCATTTGTGTCTCGCAGAGATACTCGCAATGTAAATCACTTAAAGTGGGCTCCTTTCTATAAGGCGGATCCCACAGAGTATAGTGGAAAGGGGTATTCCTGGACATTCCTGTATTGCGTATAACCCGTAGCGTTTGTCATAGTCGCACCACCGAGGTATTCGCGTAGTAGATTGTGCTCAATTTAAGAAACAAATCAAGTACACTAGTTGCTTTAATGAGTTTATTCTTTAACAATATCGATTCATGCAAATGTAAGCCTGAAATGAAGACAAAGAGGGGGCGATGTGCGTACGCAAAAGCATTGCACATTGGTTATGCGTGCAAGTGACTGAATAAAAATCGTCAAAATAGCAAAAAAAAACGAAATCGTTATTTCAGCAAAAAAAAAAATTTTATTTGATTCTCATTTGACCGTGCTATATGATAAAAAAAACATCCAAAGTGTGAATATCTCCTTGTTTAAACACCTAAAATGTAGATATAGCTTATGATCCTACACACAAAAAAGTAATTTCATATGCGCCATTTTGTTCAATGGGAAACACACCAGCAAACTCAGTTAAATCTGCAGGGACAAAAGCAAAAATCCCCTCATATGTACCATCACCTTACTTCGCCGCATTATTCTCCATGTAATTATCTGCTGATGTTTACCGTCCTCTTTGCATAGCCCCGGTCACATGAGGAAGTCTTGGCCAATAAGAGCCAACCTCTGCACTCCTGTGCGCGTCAGAGCGGCTTTTACTCACTGAGAGCCCCACCATCTCCTTTTTTCAGTCACTGGTCTTTTTTAAAAAGAGTCAGAAGCTTCCGATGTTGGATGCCGTGCTATGACAACGTCACTGCTCCTCCGTCCTCGCTGGGTCGACCCGTCGGTGATGTTCCTCTATGACAACGGCGGCGGTTCCGACGAAGCGAGCAAAAACATGGAGGGTTTCCCGGGTGGCAACTTCGCCGCGAATCAGTGCAGGAATCTGATGGCGCACCCCGCGTCCCTGGCACCCAGCGCCGCTGCGGCTTATTCCTCCGGGGACGTGCCTGCCTCCGGTGTGGGCGAACCAGTAAAGCAGTGCAGCCCCTGTTCAGCGGCTCAAAATTCCACCAGCGCGTCCCTGCCGTACGGGTACTTCGGCTACCCGTGCAGGATGTCGCATCACAGCGGCATTAAGTCATGCGGAGCACAGCCACCTTCTGCGTATGGGGAGAAATACATGGACACGGCTGCCTCGGGAGAGGAGTTCTCATCTCGGGCGAAGGAATTTGCTTTCTATCCAACTTACCCTTCTGGGCCATACCAACCTGTCCCAAGTTACCTCGACGTCCCCGTGGTGCCTACAATCAGCGCTTCGTCAGAAGCCAGACACGAGTCCCTGCTGCCCATGGAGAGCTACCAACCTTGGACTCTCGCCCCCAACGGGTGGAACAGCCAGGTTTATTGCGCCAAGGAACAGCCTCAGCCTGGGCATATGTGGAAGTCCTCTCTGCCAGGTAAGCAGAGCTGTTGAGCACATTTTTTGAGCAAACATGGAGTAAATAGGGTGTGTGTAATGTTTGGAATTGCCTCAGAGAGAGAGAGAGAGAGAGAGAGAGAGAGAGAGAGAGAGAGAGTGTGTGTGTATGTGTGTAAGAGAGAGAGAGAGAAAGAGAGAGAGAAAGATAAACCCCTTACCCTCAAATTTATCATAATAATGTGATAAAAGGAGGGGTGAATGAAAATATGGGCAGTTATTATAGAAATTTATTTTTAGAAAATAGTAGCATATTTTTTTAAGCATTCGTTTATTTCACACGATTTTCATTTTTGATTTGAAGTCTAATTCTTTACATTGATATATAAAGAATTATATGTATTTAAATTAAGTTGCAGTTTTCACACTTTGTAGATATTCTTTATGCAAAAAAAGTCCACAATTTAGGGAGAAACACATTTTTTGACCACTTGTGATCTGATCTGAGACATTTCTCATTTTTTTTACCCCCATCCCACCCCCGCCCCCCTCTTCAATCAGACGCAGTGTCCCACGCAGCAGGAGACGTCGGCTCGTTCCGGCGCGGGAGAAAGAAGCGCGTGCCATACACCAAGGTGCAACTGAAGGAGCTCGAGCGAGAGTACGCCGCCAATAAATTCATCACGAAGGACAAACGGAGGCGGATATCTGCCCAGACCAACTTGTCTGAGCGGCAGGTCACGATATGGTTTCAGAACAGACGAGTCAAGGAGAAAAAGATTGTCAACAAACTGAAGACGATCAGCTAGTTGATTATAATTTCTGATTGCCGTTATTAATATTATATGGGACATAATCTGTTGGAGATGTACAGGCCTGCGGGTGTTTGGACACGTGGATTTGGACACCGTGCTCCTTTGCTGACTGAACATGATTCAAATTTGATGTAGGCAAATGATTTCCGGGAGCCTCTGGAACAAACTTTCCTGGGGCCTCTGAAGGCCGGACCATTTTTTTTTTTTTTTTTTTTTTCCCTGCCTCTTGTTAAATACTAAATTGGACAGAGAGCTTGAGACAATATACAAATATAGTGCCAGCATGTGTGACTTTTTATTTTATTTTATTTTATTTTTTTAATATATATTTCCATTTTGTTTCTATTTTTATTTTTTATTTTTTGGCATTCCTCTGTACACAGAGGTGTGCGCCACCGAGCTACACCTTTATCTTTTAACAAGGGCAATAAATAGACGAGTCACAGGAAATTCTGCCGTTTTGGGGGGATTTGGACCTTGGAAATGTTAAATATTAAACCATCCTGGCTTCCTTTTTTAAAGCCTGTTCTCGTGCTTAGCTTGTATGAAGTCTATAGTCTTACCGTATGGATCCTCCATGCTTTCGTTCATATGCAGTCCATGGTGCAATTCCTATTGTAATACTTATAAATATTTCGTCCAGGAGATGTGCTTGTACCAATCATAGCTCCTGCAATGTACGTGTGTGTCTTCATGTGGTTGTATATCAGTGTAAAAGTAAATCCCAGCATGATATCCATGTTATGTGTGTATGTATGTATGTGAGAGTGCGTATGGTTGGTGTTAAAAGTCCGTCTCTGCAATAAAATGTGGACTTGGTTGAATTTTTTATCCAATTCGTGGTGAAGATGCACGTCTTTTTAATAACAAGGATACTCTTGGATGCATTTCTAGTGTACGACTTTTAACTTTTTTTTTTTTTTTTTTTTTTGAGAAAATTAAGCCTTAATCTTGATCACAGTTTAGTGCAAAAAAAACATAAAACATGAACTTCAGGAGGTATATTGCAGGGTAAATTCGAGGTTTTAAAACTTTTTGGAAGGGTTTTTTTTTTTTTTTTTTTTTTTTGTAGGGACACTGCATACAAATCATGTCAACGGCTGAACAATAGTTTTGGTCGCTATCTGCCGCAGGGAAATGCAGAGGGTTGAGGCTGTTCAGTGCTGTTTAATAGTCTTATACCGCCATCTGGCGACCACTTTTCACATAGACTCCTGTGAAGGAGCAGAATTTACGGTTCGACTCTATAAATACAATTACAACAGCAATAATAATAATAATAATAATAATAATAATAATAATAATAATAATAATAATAATAATAATAATAATAAAATTCTTTCATTACCTAAAATGAAAGAAATGTTGTATATTTTAATTACAGCACATATTCTGTTTTTTTTTTAACATTGATTGAAATTTATCCTTTTGTGCTAAAGTGTTTTGTTCAAGAAAGGTTTGGTTGCAGGTTTAGAAAAATACAACAATAATACTACTCTCACACATTTTATGTTAATATCATATGTTAATATCACTTCCCCAACCACCCAACAGAAACGTCAAAACAAACAAAAACCTGTCGCAATGGCAACAAAATGAAATGTTTGTATAACCTGAATATTGTATATGTCTGAAGAGATGAAGGCATGAGTAGAATCACAGCACTTGAAAGTAAATTGAAGACAAAAAATAGAAAACGTCAGTAAGAAGTGTTTTCTTACAGAACTAAAAAAAAGAAAAAAAAAAGAAAAACGTCAAACAGTTCAAAAATAATCCAAGGATACTAAAAAAAATGTAGCGCCAACATAAACTTGTGAGTCTGAAAATACTGTCCTACTAAAAACGTAGAAAATCTACCTAATTGAATAATGAATTAAATAACAGGCCCTCCTCCTCCCTCTGTTTTCTGTGTGTCTGTGTGTGTGTGTGTGTGTGTGTGTGTGTGTGTGTATGTCCGCGCGCGTGTGTGTGCGTGAATAGGACACATATTAAACACGACTGATTGTTTATATTCATATTTATTCTCGTTTTTGGATTTTCACTGGATATTTGAGAGCCATAAGTACAAAAAAAATCTTAATATGGGGTCATGAAGGGGAAAAAAACACAAAAAAGAAAAAGACAAGAAAAGAAAAGAAACAAGAAGAACAAAGGAATTATTCAAGCTTTACTTCCACTGCTGTACTTACACTCAGACTTACTCAGTATACTTTTATTATGCTACTTTCAATTAACAGTTCACATAAAGGTAGAACTGTACAAATTCATGTTTAAATATATTTTCATTTAATAATCATAAATAATAATGCTAATGTGTGTATACTATACATTAGCTATCCTTGAAAAA